CCTTCAGTGCTGTCCTTGTGATCCTGAGCATGGGGTGGCTGCAGTAAATTATCCCCTTTTGCAGGCACCTGGCAGCACTTGGGGAAAATGCAGCTGGAGTCCCCATCCCTGGTGGTGACCAGAACCCACGTGGATGTGGCATTTGGGGACATGAGCCAGTGGTGACTCTGGGAATGGTTGGACTTGATTTCCTTCAAGGTCTTTCCAACCTGAATTGATGTTGAGGCAAAAGGATAAAGGGGGTAAAAGGATAAACTAAACCCCACCCATGGGGCAACAAATCCTGGTCAGAGCTGGAAGTGAGATCCAGGATTTGCATCCCTGCAGGAGCTCGGCGTGGGTTGGTCATCACAGAGCAGCAAAGTCCGGAGGGTTTCACTGAACTCTGCTGAATCCCAGCCCATTTTAGCTCCGAAAGTGTCACTGCTGCTTCACTCTGTCCCCAGGACCCTGCTCAGCCACACAGGCCGCTCCTGACGGGACAGATTGTCCCTGATTGCTGTGGAAGTGCTGTTCCAAGCAGAGGCTGTCAGGCAGAGCTCCAGCCCCAGCTCCTGGAGCAGCTCTGGATGGAGCACAATGGCTTTCGTGCCTAATTAGGCCTTGCTGACTGATAGCTGAGCTGATAAGGGCGATAAGGAAGCTCAAACTGCTCCTTAACTGCCTCTTCATTCCTTTTCTCCCTCCTCTCCCCTGGATTAGACCTCGTTAAGCTTTTCATCCAGCTTTTTTCCGAGCCATTATGAAACGAAAAGTAAATAATATTTAGCAATCTGTTGGGATGAATCAGAAAATGAGCTGCTTTTATGAGCCCGGATGGCTCGGGGTGGGCTTCCTTCCAACAGTTTGCATGGCTGGAAGGGAAAATGTTCCTAGCAGGGGGAGCAGGTGCTCAGATTTCGTGCTGGAAATCCTAAAGTTGCAAATTCAGGCGAGGGAAGTGGTGCTGAATGAAACAGAAAACAGTAATTATTAAAGGAAGTCACCGTGTAAATAATTTTGGGGATCTTTTTGTTGGTGATATTAATAATTATATTATAAAATTTTTATGGAGCATCCTAAGTTTACAGTGCTTGGATCTGTGCCAGAGCCTCAGCACCCTCAGAGGGAAGGATTCCTACCTAAATGTAATTAAATGCAGAATAATTTGTGTCTCTGCTCCTTGCCTTGTGCAGGGTGTGAACTTGGAGGGTTTTGCTGGTGGATTTTGCTGGTTC